AACTTTTTTCAGCCCTTCAATGCCAGAACATGGGAAAAATCTCAGTCATACATGCATGGTTTCTATGTTTCTTTTTTTTTTTTTTTTAAGTGAGTTTAATAATTTTATTTACTATTAAAAGTGTTGTAAAGCGTCCTCCAAAGCAACTTTCGTTGTACATAAAATATTTCCTCATGAGTGATGTGCTTAACGATGGCAGTTGGTTACTCATGAGACAACTGATTAATCTAAGCTTTGTGTTGTTCTCTTACCTGTAGCTGCATATGCGTTCAGCGGAGATCATCAAGAGGCCAATACAATCAGGGAGAAGTACTCACTTCCGGTGTACCTAGAGTACCTAAGAGACCATCCTTTCACAGCTACGCTGATGGACGACTTGGGGACATCGTACCAAATTCTTGCAAACTATGGCAGTGCGATAAAGTTTATTCGCAAAGCGCTGCACATAAGAAAACACTCCCTGGGTAATCATGAAGTAACAGCAAGGTCTTTCTATGACCTTGGGAAGTTAAATATAGATTAAATTAAATCTGTCTGATGAGTGCGTAACCACGAAACTCCGAGTAGCAGAAACCATGTGTCGTCTTGTTTGATCGCTATCCACTGTATTAAGCTCTGCACATGTGTATTGAGCACTGTTCAACGGTATCGGCTACTTCCCCAAATATATATATATATAAATATTTAGCTTCTATGGTGATGCGTAGTCCGTTGTTGTTAAAGATACTTCGCTCTACTTCTATGTATTGAGCACTGTTATACGAAAATCAAGTCACACTAAATATATATATATATTTATGTGTGTGTGTGTGTGTGTGTGTGTGTGTGTGACGCTGAATCCCCTAAAGCTCGTGCCTGAAACGGGAATCAGGAACCCGCATTTGCTACCCTTTAAATTAGGGTTGTAAAGGCGGTCCGCCATTTCAATCCGATCTCAAGCATCTGTGTGAAATGTGACAGTTTATCCTTTTCGCTTCTAAGTCCCAGAAAAAGCCCCTGAAATGCTGGTAGCCAAGAGTACCACTTCGACAAGTATTCACCTAACGTGGAAAAACGTTGCAGAACATTCTGCTATAAAGGGCTATGTAATCTTGTACAAAGAAGTCAATAAAAAATTCCACACTGATACCACGAAGTCAGTGCTACCACATCAAAATAGTAAAGTGCTAGAGGGTTTGAAAATGTTCAAAAACTACACCATCCGCGTTTTTGCTTTTACGAGAAGTGGAAACGGAGTACCAAGTGAAGCTCACAATGTTAGAACTCAAGAGGATGGTAAGTTTAGTACTCTAACCATGTTATTTTAAGATGTCTTATTTGTTTCCTCGATTAATTTTTTTTATGAATGGTTACAATATCGCCCAGAGACTATAAGATCTGAGTCTCTAATTTGTAGGTATTTATTTAATCAGATTTTTTTCTCTTAAGGTGGAGTTTTTACTAATTTATCATGTTTCTTTTCTTTCATAGTGCCGAGTGAGCCGCCACCTGACAGTGTTGTCAAATCCACAAGTTCAAGTACAATCAATGTGTCCTGGAGACCAATCAACCCAGCTTTCATACACGGGATACTTGTGGGATACGAAGTTAGATATGCCAAGGATGACGATACACCGGAATGGAAAAATAAGATAGTTGATTCCGACAAAGACGAGACAGTTTTAAGTGATCTGGAATATTTCACTCCATACCAGGTTGTGATCTGCGCAAGGACTTCTAAAGGGTGTGGAAAAAATGTGTCTCACTCTGCTACCACATTTGGTGATGGTGAGTTGTCGACTGTTTCGTTAAAAATGTTTAAGGTTTGAATCTACTTTCAAACTATCGGCAGCCCTCAAAAACGCTCTGACCAACATTGGAATTTTTCATGACACTGAAAGACAAAGAAGTCATGTGACCTGGTCAATATGGGATTTATCTGACAGCCGACATCCAGTCGGCTAGCAATGATCACCTAAGTTGCTGAGAAAATCATTAGTTCATAACTGTACCCTTTCATTCAATATGTTGAGAGAAAACTCCACAACGGGCTTTTCATTCATCTACTGCCCATCATTTATCTTTTTATTTTCTTTACAGAGAAATCCATCAAGTGATTTAATTAACCTAGTTTACTTTTGCCTTGCCTCTAGTACCCAGTAAGCCTCCGCAAAACGTGACGGCTGAGAAATTAAAAGCAGCAGAATCCATCAACGTCACCTGGAATGAAGTGCCTTTTAGTCACGTCAATGGTCTGTTGATGGGATATTCCATAAAGTACCGAAGGGTTAAGACAGCCGAAGTAAATGTAGTTCATTCAGTGGAGGAGACAGCTGTGGCGAAGTCAAATGATCTCTGGATAGTACTCACTGTTCAAACCTACTCGGTTTATGCAATCAGAGTGGCGGCCTTTACGCAGAAAGGCCTGGGACCGTATAGTGAATATGAATATGGTGGTAAGTATGCATGAGAATAATTTAGAATGGCTTTGCAACGCAATCGCTAGCCGCAGAGCATTGTTTGACAATGTTCATTTGGTTTTTCTTAATCTTCTTTTTCCTCATCATCATCAACATCATCGTCACCATTGCTATCATCACATTTTCCTCCTCTTCGTTGTTGTCCAACAAGAAACTGTGGTGGAAGAAGAAGATAATTTTTCATCAGCTGAGTTTATAATGTAAATTGGCCGCCGTTAAAAGTTTCTAAACCAACGTTTCAAGCGTTAGCCCTTCGTCTGAGCGAATAGCTGAAAAGCTATGCTCTCTGAATTAAAGATTTTTGGACCCAGTCCTCCCTATCAAGACATGTCATTACTAGGGGATCAGGAGGGGAAAGGGTAGGAGGGGAGGTTGGAAGATTTGGGAAATCACATGGTTTTTAGAGGGAATGGTTAGTGGTCTGACATAGTTTAAAGAGGGGTCCATAGAGTATCATGACTACTATTGACTAGGGAATAACATTATGGTTTATATGAATCTTCCTTGTTTTTGTCTACTCTTAAGAGACCTGTCGCTGCCCAAAGATCATTTACACAAACTATTGGTCAACTCCACCGTATTTAAAAGTGAATCAAGAAGACAACACAATGGATGGCATTTTTAGCCACATTGTCACAGATATGATTTATACAGCTTGCGGAGAATGTCTTGCATACGGTTCCACTGAAATCGACATAACTTCAAACGGAAATAAACAGCCATCCGCCAAGGAAAGCCTTGTAGACGTTCTTGGTGACATCCATGACGTTCCACAGATAAGTTTCCCAATCTATGGCAACAAATACGTTACAAGATTTGGGGGGGTTCACGCTTATGTTAACCTTGTGGAGTCCCCAGGATTGGCTTTTGTAGCTGCGAAGAGGATTCCGGGAGCGGCTGCAACGAACATGATAAACGCTGTGTTTTCTTGCTTTCCATTGGTGATACTGTCAGCATGTATGTCGTTTATTTCCGGTTTTATTATTTGGCTTTTGGTGAGTGTACAGTATTTCGCTGTTATTTTGTCGATCGCAAAATACTTTTCAGGAGTAGATTTAAGGGCACACCCTCGTGCATGTCAAATATAGAGCAATCATGATGATAGACTAAATGGCGGTTTACTGCAAAATAATTACATGCGTATTATATAATATAAGCGAGTAAATAATCAAAGAAATAAGAAGTACATGACTATGCAAGAAAATAGATATACATTTGTATTACCATAAACATATACAACATTATCATGAAGCTAATTTCTAGTTGACTGGCTGTAAAACGTCGCTTCCTGCACGATAAATGCGGACTGGTGTCTAAGTACGCGAGACAGACATGTAGAGGGTTGAAAGATCTAAAACAAAACATATGCTATGAACTCCTAAAACCTGGTTAAGAATTCCCCCCTGTAAGTGCAACACATGTTCGTTTTGTATTAATTAAAAACTGTGCTCTATACCATATAACTAAAGTAAATTGCAGATTGTAATACACTATATAATTGAGGTTGAAAGATCGGAAGCTAGTTTCTCTCGTCATGGTTTCCTATCTAATCATACAGGATACCAAGAACAACCCGGGAGAATTTCCAACCAGTTTTCCAAAAGGTGTAGGTGAGGGATTCTGGTGGTCATTTATCTCCATGACGACCGTTGGGTAAGCAGACTCTTACTGGGGCCGAATCCCTCATCGGTTTTCTCCTTATCGGCCTTTATTGTTACCGTAACCCCAAGCCTTCTCTCTAACATGTTGCATTACGCTTATAAACAAAGGCTGCGGAGGAGAATCAAAGTTCAAGCTTGAAGTTATTTTGCTTTAACGGCGTTAACAATGTTAACCCTTTACACCGTAACATCAGTATACATATTATCCATACTGTTTTCCATCCGTTTCCCGGGCTACTAACAGGGAGAATTTAATTAATCACAAAACTGTCTTTAGTGGCTGTTCATTTTCCTTATGCTCGTGACCTAAGTGCGTCACTCTGGGGTGATACTGTAATGAGAAAATAGATGCTAGTTACTCTTTATTGTGGAGGGCGAGTTAGAGGCCATGAGCGAAATCAAAGTTTTGTTGTGTAACTCACATTTACATTCTTGGACTCAAATTTGATGAATACTTTGTAGGAATTTATATTTTCTGTTTCAAGCTTCTCCCCTTCCCTTTTCCTCGCTTAACTGCCACTTTAAAAGCTACAATATTTCTACTTCCATGGTTCGTGTTTCTGCTTTTCTGTCTTGCTTGTCTTTCCTTCGATCTATTTTTCTGTCCTTTTGGCTGCCTGCCTGTCTGACTATCGATAATTTTTATGTCTGACTGTCTGTCCGTTGATTGGTTCGTCTGTTTGTCTGTCTGTCCGTCTGATGGTCTGTTTGTTTGTTTTCATTTTCTCAGTTATGGAGACCGCTCACCCCGTTCTGTTCCTGCCCGTATGTTTGGAATCGCATGGACCCTCACAGGACTCGTTATCATCTCAATTCTTGTTGGTGCAATTGCGTCGGCGCTGACTTCCGTCACGGTCAAATACCCAGTAATATTGTATGGCTCAAAGGTAAGTTTCGATAGCAAAGCCATAACAGTTTTCCTGTACACGCTAGACAACAGGCTAAAAGGTTTTGCTCATCTTTTTTACCAACCACTTGAGACCTTACGCTGCTTATACACGAGTTGCATAACAAGATGTAGCTATTGTATAGCTAATGATCTCGGTACAGAAATAGCTCCAGCTGCAGTGTAAAAATTCCTGAGACGAACGCGAACGTCAGAACCTTTTTGAAACATTGAGCTACTTTTCTGTTTATACTTCTTTTCTATTTTTCACAACTCATCTGAAGCCAACATTCTTCCATCGCTAAATTTTTATATCAATACTGGACTTAAAATATTTAAAACTTAGGAACAGTCGTTATTTATAGC